ATCACCCTCAAGCGCCATGGTCAGCCAGGTCTACAGCCTTCTTGCAGGAAGCCAGCTGGCAATTTCCAAGAGGAATCTATACCCACCTGCTTAGGGACATAGGAAAGAGGCAGCTTGAGTGCCAACAAGGCCAAGACCTTCACGCAGTTTAAACAATAGTTTAAAACAAGCACCATCTGTGTGGCCGTTTCCCCATTCACCCTTTATACTGTACCTGAAACAACTTCTGCAGGGTGGATAGAGCAGGGAAACCGCTCATTCAGTTAGCAATATTAGAACTGAAGAAGATGCACGGGCAGTAGGGTAGAAGGGAAATTGTCAAATAGTCTGGGTCACACACACACACAAAAAATCTCTGATAACTGTGTGTTGTCTGATTCCTTCTTAGATAAGGAGTCATGTTTTCCTGCATGTGTGGGCAATACACAGTAGACCAGGTTTGTCTGCCATGCGGCCCACCAAGGCATTTTCTGTGGCCTGTGGTGCTGCAACAGGAAATGAAAGTAAACAGTTTACTTTCGTTCCCACCACTTGTCCCTTCCCCAGTCCTTCAGCAGCCATTAGGAAGATGCTGAGGGGCCGGGGGGGGAGAAGGTTCCCACACGCACCACGTCAGCGCAGCGCGGCACAGCCCGGCCAGGTCCCCCCCCGGGTGGGGGCGGCGCTGGCTGCAGCTGCTGAGCAGCCCCACCTGCCCGCCCCGAAGAGCCGGTGCCACGGGCTCGGAGCAGGCGCAAGACGGAGCTGTGATATGAGATACTTTGCCACCGGGTGGCGGAGGAGTGGCTCTGCTCACGGGCCTGGGACACACCAGTTGCTGGTGGGGAGGATGCGCTGTGGCTCTCTGGGCCTGGCCGCCCACGCACAAGGCCCCAAGTCTCGAGGGGGCCATTTCTCATGTGCTGCTGGGGACGGGAGGCAGCGCAGGCACACACAGGCACCAGCAGAGTGGAGGGCGCCTTTCCTGCACATCCCAGGGAGGCTGTGGCCAGGAGAACTAGAAGGAGCCCAGACTGGGGCTCCCATGCATGGCAGCAGCTCTCCCCACCCCGCTCCATGCCCAGTTGCAGCTGTGGCTGATCCTAGCTGAGCCGCAAGTCTCTCCCACAGCCTCTCAGCTGCACTGAGAAGCCCCCACTCCCTCCTGCCCCTTGCAAGGCAGGGAGCAGCAGAGGCTGCAAAGCACCACGTGGGTGTCTCCTGCCCAGACACATCCCTCCACCTTTGATTAGTTTCCACTCTGGCCAATATCTTTTCTACATTTGATCTGTTGACTTGCATTATACTTTTTTCATTATGTGACAGTGTTTATTTTAGTCAAGTGTTTGGTATTATTTCATTGTTGCTTTTATATTGTTTTTATTTCGGATTTTAAACCACATTTCCAGGCCCATTTCATTGTCACTTCCTGCAACTTCATTGGTGTCAAAGGTCACGACATTACTTCCTGATGTGATACCGCTTCCTGTGAGGTCTTTGAATATGGCTTGCCAGCCCACTGGGTGATAAAAAGTTCATGATCCGGCCCCACATTTAAACAGGTTGGACACCCCTGCGGTAGACCAACATGACACCAATAGAAACACTATCAGTGTAGTGAAACTATGGTAGAAGTGTTCATCAGCTATCCTGTTGCAGCCTCAGTCTATATTACTTCTCCCATCCAGAACTTTGTTACCATAAATCCTGTTTTAGAGGTTTTTCCAATCTTCAGATCTCACTAGTATAAAGCATATGGAGCCTTGCTACTATAAAGACTAAAGCCTTGAATCTATATCATGACTGAAATAAATTGTTTCTTACTGTTAAATGTCTCATACGATGTAATTTTGGTCCCTGGATAAGTCCTGATGGATAAATGCCACTAATACAAGCAACACCACTGGTAGGGTCAGCAAAGAAATTACAGTTCAAGTGCTTATGACCAAAGTGAGAGCTTCCTCTTATTTCTAAGACACTTGAAACAAATTGGCAGGGGGTATAGGAAGGCTTCTCTGTTGTATGATGTCTTGTGTCATTATTGTTAGTACTGATGAAGTACATCAGTGCCAGTTTATCAAACACTGCAGAATAAAAATTTCCAGCATTCCTATTTGAAATCAAGCAGTTTCTGGGGCATACTGAGTTCAATTCCCATTCAATAGGCTAGCAAAAAAAATTAAAAATTAGAAAGATTGGTTACATCATCTACTCAGTCCCTTGCCTGTGCCTTCTCATGTTTCATCCAATCTAGTTCTCCATTCAAGTGTGAAGACAGCTACCATTTTTCATAAGTAGCAATTTAGTTTGATGAGGAACATCTTAATCTATCACTAACCTAGAATTCCCCCCTTTAAATGGAATCTTATCCTATTATTCCCTGAAAAACTCTAAATATTTAAATCCCTCAAATACATGAGGGATTATCATGCTCCCCACCTTTTTTTAAAAAAGTAAATAAATAAAAAAATAAATCACTTAAAATATATCAATCAAGTCAAGCCTTGTTTGTTCTTAATCTTCCCCCCCCCCAACATAAAACCTGCTCTCTCTCCTCACTCTTGTTGCTCTCATCACATTTTTGCACTGTTAATATAGTGCAAATCCAGAACTACGTAGTTTGTTTTTGCAGCCATAATAGAAGAATAAAACAAAAAAACTAATCCATTTTAGGGCACACTTACACCAATGGAAGAAGAGTGGTGTACAGATGACAAACATCTGAACTGGAGTAATTTTGCTTAAACAGGTGGAAAGTTGCTCCTGAAAGAAGCAGGTGTTAAAACCACCAGAACTATAGCAATTCAGATCTGCTCTCACACATCCCAAGGCAGATATTTGCCAAATAAAAAACGAAATTATCACCTACTTTGGCTCAGCTTTTTCCACAGAGATCAAGAACTCAAACAAACAAACAAACAAACAAACAAACAAACAAACAAACTCTCTCTAGATTTATCGTTTAACATACACCCTTTTCATCTTTTTAAAGTGAAATGAAGTTATCTTGAACCAGACTGGGGCTTTTGTTAGCTTCCTTTAGGCATATTGCTTATAAATCAGGGAATATATGCACAATTTAAAAAAGAAAAAAGAAAAGATTATAGATGCAGGTAGGCAAGCAAGTAAGCAGCACTTTGCTTTAAACTTGACATGCTCCTGTGCCAAGCCCAGAAGAGGCAGTGCCTTAGTTTGGTACTTTTATCTAAAGCCAAGTCAAACTGGATATTAGATCAATGCACCAAAAAAAGCCCTGAAAGCCCTGCTGAAGCACCCGATCTATACAGATGCTGCCATGTCTGGTCGAAGTAAACATACTGCTGCTTTCAGTAAAGCATGTTTTGGGGGATTTTGGTTTGCCTTTTTGTTTGTTTGTTTGTTTGTTTGGTTGTTTTTTTTAAAAAGAGAAAAAAAAAAAAGTCTACAAGCAGCCATAGTACCCAACATGAGACCCAGCTACAATAAGGACAATATGTTCAGTATATTTCTTAAGTAAATGAGTCACCTTTTTATTTCTCACTGTAACATGCACTAAGTGCTTAAAGCTGTCATTATTTCAGCCTTCACATATTCTGGAAAGGACAGGATGGCAGTGTAATTAATAGTTACCTACGACACAGATCTGCAGAAGGAAGAAAGCCAAAAGGGAATGCTAACTCTATACCAAAAACAGGAACAAGACAGTGCCAGGAAGAAAGATGGGGGAAGATTAAAGCATATCCTGAAAGTGGAAGTGCTGGTTTTTTGTTTTGTTTTTTAATTCAAGGAAAACAAAACTGGAAGTCAGATTAAGTAACCAACCAACCATTTCTTCTGCTGAATCTAAGTAAAAATGAAAAATTTCTTCAGACAAAGCCAGTAAACATGTTTAAAAAAAGAGAAGTGCAGAGAGATCTCCATTTCCTCAAGTTCTCTATGCACCAACTCATCTTAAAAGGTTTAGGACATCACATTGCACATTCAAGGCAGCAGATGACTCATGCTATTCACCAAGTTATTCCATAGTTTCTAGAAAGTCATACTGAACACTTAAAATAGTGTTCAATATGGAAAAGATTAAAGGGCAGTACAATTACAACATCAATTTGCTGATACTTCTCTATAAAAGCCCTTTGTTTAGGGATTTTCCTTCATTCCATTTTTAAAATTCTCAGTTTGTTTCCAGCTTATGAAATAGCACTTGGTAGTCTTTTAATAGCTATACCTCCTAACTTTCTTATAGAGGACACCTTCTCATTTAAGCCTAACATTTAGCCAAATCCTACACAATCATCTTATTCATTATTTAAACTTCTGTTTGCCTCAGTTTTCATAAATTTTACCCTGCAAATTTGAAATGTGCATGTCAAAAGTTACGCAAATCTAGCAAATCATGTATACATGTGCAATCTTTTAAAGAGCAAATGGAAAGGGAAGTTAGCTTCATGATTTAACCCACGAGTCATAAATGCTATTTCTGAATTAAGAAAATGGCAACCAGCTCTCATCCTGTACTCTCCTCAGAAATGTTAGACATTCAGTGATTGTGGTACTTGGATTACAACTCACTCCTTGAAGCCTACAGTACTGTACAGTGTTATGCACATATCCTCAATATGCTCATGTTACTGATGCACTTATTTTTTTTCCTCCAGCTGCTGCTTTTTGTGTGTGTAAAAGTATTCACACTAAGGTATCTAGAGATTGGAAATACCCAACCAAATGGAACTGGTTGTGTGGAGTAAAGATTAAAACTTTGATACAAAAAAAAAAAAATTACACACACACACACACACACACACACACACCCCCCCCTAGCCACATACTTTATTACCACTTAGCGCAGAGTTTGTCCTGTCTGAGATGCAGAAAAGCAAGATAAGGGAAAGAACATATAAAAATGCACATAAGAACAATCAGGATGGATGCTCAGAACACAAGTTTATACTATTTACAACTGAAGTATCCCATGCAATTTAAAACAGGAAAAATCCAATGCATTGAAGATGTAGTAAATACAATGACACCACATTTTAAGGGATTTGTTTTATTTTTGGTTTACAAACAAAAAAAAGGCACCCAATGTTTCTATTTATACCTTATAAAAAGCATACAATTTGACTTTTTTCCAGTTTAGAATCTGTGTCTATGGCAGAAAACCTGATCTCAGGCCAAAAAAAATTCTTCTCCTGGTCCCAAATTTTAAATACCAGTATACTTGTTTAGTGACCACCTGATTTCAGTTTCCTCCTCAGGTCAGATCCCACTGATTTTAGTGACTCGCAGGACATAAATTTACCTTCTGACTGTACCCAAGTATAGAACCAATGTACTATTAACATTTATAGTTCAGGAACCAAAACAGAATATATGAAAACTGAACTAGTAAAAGGGGGTGGGGGGGAGAGAGAAAGAGAAGAAGAGTCAGCAACACCGTAAGATCCCGATATGAAAAAGTGCCTTCAAACAATCTGAGTGACTGATTGACATGGAATGATGAAACAGAAGTTTGAGTTTATGTACAGAAGGAAAACAAATTAAAAAAAAAAAAAGAAAGAAGATTAACCCATAGCACAGCCAGCCACGGTCTCTAAGCTAAGACACTTCAGATTTTAAAGGTGGTAAGATTTACATAGTGGAGACTGAAAATAAATTCTTCAAGTTATGCAATTAATCCACATTTATTTATTCAAAGTAAATAGTATTCAACATTATGGAACAGAGAATCAGTTCAGTGGTGTTATAGCTTCCTCAGTTTAAATGAATTAGCCCCAAAGTAGCTATCTACAAATGACAGAGTTACAAGGGTCAAACAAACTAGAAATGTGTGAACATAACTGACGTTTCTTCAATCTTGATAAGCATGTCTCTTGGCCAAGAACAGAGAGGTGGGTAATTAGATCCTATGCACCCTCTGCAAAAGGCTACATTTTGCCAACTATATTTTTCAGGTTCAATAAACAGAGGATGCCTAGAGACAGCTATAACAAGTATATAAGGAATAGCACATTTTAAAAGTGTAACATCCTGAATCAAAGAAGCCACAATTAATTTTCTGCCACAGGTCTCTCACACTTAACAGTGTGGTCCTAGACCAGAGATTTGTATAATTGAAGTATTATATACACAAGTGGCTTAAAAAGGAACTATGGTTTAACTATTTACTACATAATATTTAGCTTCAACAAGGAAGCTATCATCATTCCAAAATTAGATATACACCTGCACGAAAGAAGGTGCTTGCTTTTAAAGTTAGTATTTCCACAAGAATAGCAAAATAACCTCTTTACACACTTAATTCAAATAGGACAACAAATCAAATACCAAGGTGAGCATATTATATAAATTTTTGTACTATTAGTTCATAATTTATTTATCTCAGTTGATTCAAGAATACATATGCTGATTTAAGTACAGTACAAATGGATCATTAATGAGTGTACACCACACTGGTGCACTGGTATGTCAATAAAAAAAAAAAAAAGGAATGCTAAAAAGGTTTTAAATTCTATGCAACAGAATTAAAGGGCAATTCAAAATTGTTACATTAAAATAGAATTCAGCTCTCTTGCAAGTAAGTTACTACTTTTATAAATGCATTTCCCCTACAACAAAAACATGCCAAAAATAGATTTCTTCAAATTTAGTCAAGAGTTCACTCCTAAATATTCAAGTTAATAAACGTGTCATTTGTTAATCAACATACGAAAGTTTTGAAGCAGGATTCCTCTTCCTGTATTTCCCCAGTTAAGAGGGGCATATGTGAGTGTCAAGCTTCTAGAATTGCAATCAAAAAATAAGTTTTCACTCACTGAAGTACTGATGATGCCATATTTTGGCAAAACAAAAACATTTCATCTTTCTGGAAACAGTACAATTTGCCTAGACAGTTAAGATACAAATGCTATAAAGAATAGCAAAGGATACAAAGTATCCTCTGGAACAGCCTAGTACCTTATATCAGGTGAGTAATTATTACATCATTGGATATTGATGTTCCATCATTTAGGGTAAAGATGGAATCAACCACTGGCATCTTTTTTTTAAACATTTAAAAGAATAAAAAAAGAATTGTAACACAATCTGTTCTGCTTTCAGACATGCAAATGCCTCTCAAACATTAATGAGTGCATCTGTGGGAAAAACAGAGTCAATTTGCATTCTTTAAGATTAGATTGGACAGCCTTCCAACTATAATAGTAATTTTCTTTTTCTTAGTAATTCCCATCACATGCTTAGATTAACTTGGAGATGGAAGAAATAGTTGCCAAAAGCAAAAACAGAACAGTCAGAGAAAGGAGCCTCCAATAATTGGACAATGATCTACTCTCTCTTGTATTGGTTTTTGCTTAATTGTAAGCCTGTTACTCTTTTGATTTAGATGTCTTGAGCAAATAGATGTTAAGGCAAACTTTAAATCCAGGTCCTCACAGAACTGCACAGTTACATTGGTCAGTGGTCCAAACTCTCTCAGGTCAAAGTTAAAAAAAAAAAAAAAAAAAAAAAAAAAAAAAAAAAGAAGTGTTTTTGTTTTTTTTTGTTTTTTGGGGGGGCGGGGGCAAGAGGGGCAGGGAAGGGGTTAGTGCTAATATTTAAAAAAGTTTGTTTAATACCAGTTTTGATCTGGCATTCATTCAACTATTTTATTTCTAAATTTTCATGGAAATACACAATTAAAAACATTACATATACTGCACTGTATATATTTTTCACACTCCAGCTTTAAAGATGATTTGATGCCTTTACAAAAGATGAGATGATTAAGTACATTTGACAGACTTTGTGCAGTTAGATCACCATATGCATAGATGTCCTAATGCTAGAATTCTTTACTTCAATATCTCATAGTACTGGATGCTCTAAAGTAGGAGAGGAACTTGTAGCACAGACTAACCACGAAGTACCAGATGTTTCTTGCCATCTGTGATCTTGCAATAAAGATACGCCAGATCAGGATCACAAGAACTGTGTTGAAACCATAGCGTATATTTCTTAACCTGGGAAAAATTAAAAGAAATAAAAATTTTAAAGTGCTGCAACAACAAGATTTGCAGAGACGGGATGCAGAGAAAGGTTGCAAACGCAACCTTTAAGATGTGGAGCAGCTAAGCTGCTCCACATTTGTTTACCTCAGCTTGCACCTCTTGGCTGCAGCCAGATGAGCATGGGCATGCAGTATGTGGCACTGCAAACCCATCTGTGGTGCCATACACTGCACATTCCCTGTGTTGCTCCCTTGCAGTGAGAGGGGTAACCCTAGGAGGTTGCAGGGTAAAAAAAATCCACACAAAAAGCAAACCAAAAACATGCAACGTGACACACATGGCAGCAGTGCACACTGCCCAGAACTGGAGCCTGGCCAGCTGGAGCCATAGTCTGGCTGCCAGCCAAGCTCCCAGCTGCAGAAGTACCATGGCTGCAGCTCCAAGGCTTCCAGGACCCCAAGGAAAAAAAACACCAACCATCTGCACTCATCTGGACATGCCCCTTGTGACAGTATCAGATCCAATGGACTTGGAAGAAAGCTAGATCCAGAGGCGATTACCACCATAAAAAGGCTTTGCTCTTCATTCCTAACCAAGCCAACCATAAAGCATGGTTGGCAAAATTTTATACTCTGAACAGAAGTACAAATTTACCATAAGAGAAGGAATTGCTTGATACATATACAAGTAGTACACTTCTCCCTGTCATTTTTAAAAATACAGGTTCTATAGGCAACCATATCAAAAAACAGAGGGATAACCAAAACATTCTTACGCTTAGTATAAAAGTGTACTAGCCTTAAGCTTATGGCCACCCAAAAAAAAAAAAAAGTTTTCTGAATACGAAAAGCAAACAAGAGCAACCAAACAGTAAAAGCTAGGGGTGCACTGATAAAAGGGTTTTTTGAGCTGATACTAATGGCCAATTATTATTTAGCCATATTAACTA